CTTKCCAGGAAGTGCAAGAACTTTTATCAAGGTATGGTGTGGCAGCCAACTACACCACGGCCGCGCACCCCCAGGCAAATGCTCCCGTGGAACGAGGACATAGTACCATTACGAATCTCCTGGCTAAATGGACAGAAGGTAGGCCTAATCAGTGGCCAAGATACCTAAGGGCGGCTTTCTTTGTCGAGAATATTACAGTAAAAAGATCCACCAAGTACGCACCGGTGACGCTGTGGTACGGAAGACACGCCACCTTCCCTATCGAAAGCTTTCTTAAGACATGGAGGCGCCTGGATCTAGAAGTTAACCTGTCATTCGAARATTTGCTCGATATTCGGGCGCGGCAGATAGGGGCGATAGAAGAAAGGATCCATGAGGCGTCTGACCAGGCGGCGAGAAGCCGTATGGACGATAAGGCTCGGTGGGATCAATCTGCGCGGGTGAGGAAAGTACCCTTGGCAGTTGGAGATGTCGTGTTTCTCTACGATTCATCACTGGAGAAGCAATGGTCCAGGAAGCTCGATAAGAGGTGGTTAGGTCCCTACCGGATCGCACGGGTCGGAGACTTCGGAGCGTACCAGATCGAGGAAGTAAATGGGACTGAGTGGAAGGATTGGGTATCTGGAACGCGACTGAAGAAATTTGTGGCGAAAGAAGAGGTAAGAGAGATGACCTGACTGCCTTTTAGAATAGAAGTAACAGGGTGTGTAGGTTAGGTAGGATGCGTGCTGCATGAGTGTGGTCTGGTCTGAGCTTGCTTTGATTATCACCTGCTTGCTTACCCCAATGTGTGCCTGTCGTCTCCTTCGCCTGTTGTGCAGGTCTGACTTTACGAAGACAGCCATRCCAAGAGGAGGGAAGGGGACACGGCCGCCTCAGAGGCCGTTGGGCGCATCAGGAGGATATGAGCGACATGGGCCTCGCCATCTAGAGAGTACTCCGGTCGACAATGATGGGGACATCGAGCTATTCTTGGACAGTTTCTGGGAGCATGCGAGGCGTATGCGTTGGACTGTCGCTCAGGCGATTGAGGGATTGAGGGGGGCAGGTAGGTTCGAGGAACCCATTGCCAGGATTCGTAGGGAGGTGACAACGAGGCAGGAGGTGGAGATGAGGATGGAGGAGTTGCGACCCTCGCCTGTGGGACCTAATGGCAGGCCGATCCGCCTGGAGATTGGAAATGCGTCGGACTTCATCCCCGCGTTTGAGTGGTTCATGCAGGGGCAGGGCATACCGAGAGATGATTGGATGCAGACGCTACCACTCTGGACCAGGAAGGCGGAAAGGCCACTGGCTATGCAGATCAGGGACATGGCACGAGATTGGGGGAGCTGCAGGGCACATCTGAGAGAGGCCTTTCGACGGCCAGAGCTCCCTCAGCCCAGAGTCGAGAGGCGGCAGAGGAGTCAAAGACCGAGGGACCCTGAGCCCAGGGAGGCGAGACCATCACGAGGAGGACGGAAGGTCCTAGCCAGGAGAGAGGAGGAGCCGGAGCAGGAGCCAAAGGTTGAAGAGCGAGGGACATACCCTGAGTGTGGGTTGGGACCAGTGGAGTTCCATCGTTTTACTTGGGGTGGATTGAGGAGGTCGCCAGCACACCCACGGGAGGAGCCGCCAGTGTCTGAAGGGCCGTTGAGAGAGTTAGAAACGCATCTGGATATCTCTCAGTGGAAAGCGTCGCCTCAGGATGAGAAACATGAAGAGCAAGTAGAGGAGGTGCCACGAGAGGAGGTGCCACAGGAGGAGATACCGCGAGAGGAGGTGTCACAGGAGGAGGTGCCACGGAAAGAGGTCCAGGGTACTCAGCGAGAGAGAAGGCTGGGCGAYGAGGGGAGACGTGCAGGGAAGGAAGTGATAGAGGTTCGAGAGGACACGCCCCCACAGACGCCAGCAGTGGGTTTGAGACTCGGAGATGCACCAGGGAGCACCCAGCAGGCAAAGGAGAGGTTGCAGAGAGAGGAGGCCCCATTACCGTCGTCAGAAAAGGCTCCTTCGCCAGAAGGGAGGGCAGCTGTAAGGAGGGAAGCTTTGACTTTGATTGATAGACACCTAGCAGCTTATGCCCTGGAGCATCCAGACCTGGAGGAGCCAGCACCTGCAGAGCCACGCCAGGAGTCATGCCAGCCCGAGAAGGAGATGGAAGCAGAGATA